GTAGCAGTTGTGCTGGTAGTTCTGGGAGTCGATGTGGTAGTAGTTGTACTGGTAGTTCTTGAAGTCGATGTGGTAGCAGTTGTACTGGTAGTTGTCTATTGAAAATGATGTCAAATATCAGCTTATACAACTTCGGTTTCCATACTGTCAAAATAGTCTTTTAGTATCTAATAATTATATAAGAACATCTCAAATTCGAACTTATACAGATGATAGTACCTTCACGTTATACGAACTTTATAAAAAAATTGTTTGTAAATAAATAATCATAATTTTTAACCTTCCAAATGATAATTAATCTGACTTTTTCTAATCGATACATTTCCTACTAATTTCAAATGTGTTTGTTCGAAACAGAAAATTTGTATACAATTTTCGTATTTAAAAAACAGTACGAATTTTATATGTATTTTCTCTTTCTGGTAGATCTTGCAATCGTTGTATAACTCAAACTTCAAATAAAGAAACCTAATACGAATATTTAGTCTCAAAACGTTTTTATCAATCTTGTGTTTCTTTTCAAGGTACTTGAGAACTGAAAGAATTAAACAATTATTAGCATTTAATAAATATTCAAAAAAAATGTAGAACATTCAGCAATTTACCGATGTACTAGTTGTTTTTAATGAGAGAAGATTAATATAGTATCCACCTTGAGCTGTCCAGTTACTTGCAAAATAAAATTCAGCAGCCCTGAAAGAATCTAGTTGTGTCCAGTTAACCTGCGTTAGTAATAGTTTTGACGTTGATTCTGGATCATAGTAACAATGAATAGTTTGTGTTCCAGTATCATTATATATACATTTACCATTGTTAACCAGTGCAGCAAGATTCATTTGAATACGACACATAATTGGTTGTGTATCAAATATTATGTATAAAATATACGAAAAATTCGATGACCAGTGCAAGTCTATGAAGTAAATTTTAAAGGATGACTTTGACTTCTGACTAGGTTGAAACGGATTAGTATCTTTATCAACATTGACCGTGCCATGGAATTGTTTAAGCTCTTCGGTTTTTATCTTCTCAGACGTACTTGATGGAAATAAACGCGTAATAGTAGAATCTATTTTAAATTTTTTTTGTTGCTCCTGACACGTCGAAAATGTTTGACCCAAGTCATAAATTTTTTTAACCATGTTATTTGGAAAACGATTAGTCTGATTATTACATGATACATTCGATGAAAGAAGTTTTTGCCAATCATCTATAACAATATATTCATATGAAGAACATCGAAGATATGCGTTCCCTTGAAATACAAAATCTAAGGTATTTAATGCACCAAAATAACAACAGCAGATAAACATAATAGACGGCAACAGAAATTGAAAATAATTATAAATCATTCTTTAACTTAAGAATTAACAAACTAAATATACATATGCATAGCAACAGTTAAATAGAGCCAAAGTTCTGAATAAAAATAATAAACTTATTTCATTTTCTATTAAAATCATTATGTTAATATGTTAGCACAGTCGAAATAATCAGTAATATTGTAGATTTATTAGATAGATCTTACAGAGATTAGTCTTTTGTAGTACAAGCATAGAAATATCATATCATGTCAAATTATTTGTAAGCTAAAATAGTATTAGTTCAATAACTCTTACTGATCTATTAAGATAAATAATAACAAGAACAATATATATATATTTAAGTATCTATTAAATATGTAGAACCAAATCGTTTGTTTTAAGCTCATATCAGATGACACATAAATCTCCAATTGTTAAAAAAATGCAAAGTTAATTATATTCATTATACGAAAAACATGTTCTATACAAAACTAAAGACTTAATCTGAATAGATGAACACAGTTGAATTTCCTATAAATATTTCTGTTGTCAGTGAGATTAGTTTGTAAACAAAAATGAATTATGTGTAATAGAAAAAATCATAAATAATATCAATTAATAAAATTTGACCGTTCTATTTATTTCGAAAAAGGAAATGAAATATTCACAATAATTCTAAATCTTGTCTATTTAATGTTTGTAGAGTTTGACAACATCTTCTATAAAGTTCTCTTGCAACTAATTCTCGTTCATCATCATTTACACCAGGATACGTATGTAATTGTGGAAATAATAAAAGTTTTTTTAATGTTTTAATTTGTCCAAATTTTTGTAATAAAATATCAAATTCATAATTATAATAAGGTATTATAGATTTAAATGATAAAAGTGAAATTTTTGTATGATTTTTTTCTTTTATATAATAATCAGCTAATTGTCCAATTGCTGATGCTTGTAATGAACAATAACCAATGGATAATATTGTTAATTCTGGACAACGTGGAATAATTTGTAAGATTAAATTTGCACATGTACGTGTACCAAAATTATTCATACTTAAATTTAATTCTTTGAAATAACGTAAATTACGCATTGATAATAAAAATTCTAAATCTTTTGATACTAAACGACAATCTTGTAAATTAAGATATTCAAGTGGTTGAATAAGACCACTAAATAAAATTCTTATATACGATTGAAGATATGAATAAGATAAATCAAGTCTTCGTAAATAAATTAAACGACGAAGTAAACGATTGAAATCAGTACATAGATTCGTTAATATATGTGGTGCTGTATAACTAAAATGCAAAATATTATAGAATATAATAATTATTTATGTCGTATTTTCTTTTTTTTACCGATGAGGATATAAATTAAGAACACGTTGTAAACAAAGTACACGTAAATTTCGTAAATTCGATAGACTTCGAACAAGTAATGTTAATTCATTTTCTGTTGTTTCCATATTTGTATCACTTAAATGAAGATGTGTAATATTCTATAGAATAGAAAAAGAAAAATTATTTTACAAAAAAATAAACTATGATAAGAATTAAATAATTACATCAACATTTGTTAGATTCAAAACCAAATTAATATCAAATGATGTATGAGATGTTAGAATTTGTCGAACATAATTATTTATCCATAATTTACGAAAATGAAATCGAAATGGTGTTAATTGTTGAAGTTCAAGACCAACAAGTGAATCTTCATTTATAATCTGACAATCAAGAATAATTTTGATTGGTTCTATAGATAGAAAAATATGATTAGATCATCAATTTTTAATTATAGAAAACTCTCTATCGATCTAGTTTTTACTTAGAAATTATATTTCGACAAACATATATGAATTCACATCAAAATCGTAAATTTTTCCATCTACTTTGATAAATAAATAGTAGATACTGAGAAAAGAAATCAAACACGTACACACACATGCTATGTAATAGAAGATGAAGGATAATCACAGCATGCGATATTCTACCAAAATTAGTTTCATGTGCAATCGATTTATCATAATATTGATAAACATAATTAAATCCTTCAATATATTTTTCTAATTTAGTCTTTTCAATATCTAATATTAATCAATAGAGAAAAAAGATCGACTTATATGAAATTTTCTTTGTTAAACTTACACATTCGTTTTTGTAATAAAGAACGTCGTTCAGGTGCAATCCATAATAACGGTAAACGAAAAAGTTCTTTTGTCATTTGAATAGCTTTATAGAGAAGAAATGAAATATAAGATAGAATAAGAAATATTTATTACTTGTTGAACATCGATGAAAATCAACAATTTTTAAAAGTGATAAATCTTTATGTTTATTCACTAAACCCATTACAATATAATCAAGTAAAGTTGAACCATCGGGTAATTTTTTTTCTAAAAATTTTGCAATTGAATCAATTTCATCATCTTGTTGTTGATTATTATTTATATAAACTAATAATGATGATAAAGGTAAAAGACGATAAATTTCTAAATGATTCAATGGCCAATAAGCAATAAGAATTTCAATTATTTGATATTCATTCATAAATATAGCTTCTTGTCCTATTGAATAAAATATATTTCCTGGTGTTGATAATAGTATCGATTTTTGTTGAAGACATGAAATTAAATATTTTTCGTTTGAGATTAATTTTCGGATACATAATGAACGAAGATGTCTAAAAAACAAAAAAGAAATTAAGCTCTTTATTTATTATTTTTTAAATTTATCAATTATATCAGCTAAATATATATAATCTTCAATGCGGTTATAAATTTGTGTAGCAATACGAACATATAATTCGTTATTAACACACAAAATAATTGAAACAAGTTTATAATCTTTAATCAAATCAGTTAAAAGACGTAAAGCATCTTCTTCAGTCTTTTTATATTCTTCTAAATCAGGTAATTGAATCATTTTTAGATACGGTGCTTGCATATCCTTTGGAACTATATCTTTTCCTTGTGTATTCCAACGTTGTTCAAGAAGTGTTTTAGCTTCTTGACTTAAAGTAGAATTATATTGATAAATTTCATCGAATCCACCAGCTAATTGATCAGCAAATTCAATTGCTTTTGGTAAAGTAAATAGAGCAGATTCATCACGTGTACCTTGATGAAAGAACTGTAAATGAAAATGTGTCATCGCATCAAGTTGAAGTGCAGATGGGCGATAACCCCACGAGGTATTAGCAGGTTGAACTTGATTAGCAACTTCTGTATTGCGAATAAAAAGAAATGAACAACCTCTTGCAGCATACATCCATTTATGAAATGTACCAACATAATAATCACAAGTAAGTTTATTTAATGAGAAATGTGGAACAGCTTGACCTGGTCCATGTGCTCCATCAACAAGTACTGGAATTTTATAGGAATGCAAAAGATCAGTGAGTTCAACAATTGGAAGAAGAATTGCTGTTGCACTTGTAATATGATCGATAACAGCAAGACGAATATTTTCAACATCACCTTTATTCAATTCATCTTGAAATTGTTGAATGAATGATTGTTTATTTTCAATTGGATGTCGAATATTTATCATTCGTACTTTCCATCCACGTTGTTTAGCAGCTTCTTCAATAGTAAATAAAACTGAACCATACGCTAAATTCGTACATAAAATAGTTCCATTTGATATTGGTCTAGATGTTGGTAAAGATGATTTTATTAAAGCATTTACACCAACAGTTGCATTATCAACAAGAGTAATCTGTTCGAAATTACAATCGAGTCGATTAGCTGCAGCTCGTACACAATCAGCATATAAAGTATATTTTAATGAACGAAACCAATGATCAGGATTTCCTTCTTGTAGTAAACGTATGCGTTGTAATTCATCATAAACAAAACGAGGACATGGTCCATAACTACCATGATTAACATACACAAGTTCTTGATCCATTAAATAATGATCAAGACGTGTTTTTTCTCCGAATTCAATTTTAGTCATCGTACAAGAAAAAAAATCTTGTTTAGTTTTTTATCTGCAAAAGAAAATGTGGGACGGCGCACATGGGTTTGCATACAAGTTATAAGCGGACGTGATAACAAACAAAAACATTCCTTATCTCACCTCGGTGATTTTATTGTTCTATTTTCTGTATTTGTTTTTTGTTGTATCGGATAATAAAAATGTTGTTCAAGTCGAATGGTCGGTATTCGCCTATAAATATAATCTGTTCGATCAAACATAGGATTACTAGGAAATATATTCAGCATGATAAACGTCCTTTTTTTGCTGTTTTTTTTCTTGTGAATAATCTAAAATGTGGATGTATATAGATACACATATTTAATCATAAGACCTCGATATTGTGCAAGAAACATGCTTTGTCACAAGTGATAATATGCATTTGCAAGATGACGATAGCAATGACAAGTAAGAGAGAATGACGATAAAATAATCATTCGTTATATAGATTAGAGTAAAAAGGATTGACGAAGAAAGTAACGGAGAATAATTATAGAAATACTGTAAATAAGAAGAAACGATAAAAAAATAAGGTCCTGTTGACTTCCTCCTTCGAATACATATGATAGATATCAAGTCTACAGTTCTCAATGTACGCTCGGCGATGTTTATGCATACAAAAAAAGGAAAAGACGTCTTCTGACTATGCTTGATCTTTTAGACCAGATGATGATAACAAAAAGAATAAGTTAATGAATGTTTATTCAAAAGAATTATTGAAGCAAGTAAAAAATATTAGAAGGATATATCATTATTATTAATGCTCTCGAGTTATAATTATAAAATTAATCTAGAAGTTCTATTAATTTTTCTCTATATCAGATTTCTTTGGAAATATTATATATCATTTAAAAAACAAACAAATGTATTTTCGATGTTTAGATCTTTTAATTAAACAAAACAACAAAATTTCTAAGTAGCATGAAGCTGTTCATCAGTTAATGTTAATTGTTCTAGACTTGTTAATTTTTGATCTTGAATTGTTTGAAGTATTGTCATTAGAAGTGATTGTGTACGATCTTTTTCATCACGTAATTCAGGATAATAATCACGATAATCATATGTTCGAAATGGTACTTCATATGTTAATAAACCGAAATCATAAGATTTACGTAATGCAACTCGAAGATTTCGTAATTGTGCTTGACATATAGCTGTTTTTAAAACAGGTTCAACTTCACCTGTATGATCATTCACAAATTGTTTTAGAAGTTTTACATTACGATAATCTAGTAAAAGATATTCATCACGACATATTGGACATGGATTTCCACTTGTATAAAGACCTTCTTCAGCACAAAAATCACGTGTATAATGTGGAAAACGTTGATTAGTACGATTTCGAACATAATTTTTCCATACTGGTACATTGCCATAAACAGTTTTATAAGCATCACTTTCCATATAACGAAGAGATGTTTCAATATCAGTAACAGTATATGGTGTACCTCGTAATGAAGTTTTCGTTTTATTATGTGCTAATTGAGCCGATTGAGCTGTTGGAGTAGCTGGATCAGCGGGTGCTGCTGGTGTCGATGATTTAGCTGCATGAAGTGAAGGTGTTAATGAAAGAAAAGCACGATGAAAATTAATTAAAGAATGAAGTTTGAAATAACACAGCCGTGGTGAAAACATCTGAAAAAAAAATTATCTAGATTTTTATTGTTATTTTTTGACAAAATTATTTCATTTATAAATGAAAATCAGATCTATATATTGTTAAATCGTAATCTTTGAATTGGTTAGTATTTACCATTATTATTTTTTATCAGACTCAGTCCATTCTGTTTCTATATAACTAGCGCTGATAGTTGATTGGATGATTTGTATTACCTTTCCCGATGAATATACTGCGATGTCGTCATCGAGAAGCGGGAGCCGGAGATGTTCTCGTGTAAATTTTAACAAATCCATCTGCTTTTATTTACTAGCCATTTTACTTATCTTTTGTTTTTAATGTTTTAGATGAGATTATATAAAACTTGTAATCGATATTTTTTATATGTATTCCTTTTTATACTTATTGTTAACTGTTGCGGACAAGAATATCATCATGATAGTCATGAATCTATAGATCCAACAATATCCAAAGGTATGAAATCACCGCTATCATAATCAGAATTGTTCAAATCGTTTATTCTATCTAGACACACATATTGGAAAAAATGATATTCTCTCATCTTCGTTTCAGCAAGAATCAGTCGTCAATAGCGTAATAATGAATTCACATCGTATGTTATAATATTCATTTTCGTTTTAAAAATATTTCAGAATAAAGATGAAAATGATTCAATAACTTTATTATTAACTAATACAAATGATCAGATTTGTTGGCATATACCCAAACCATTTCAGACAAGTCTTAAATTAGCAGAAAGTCAAACTTTACATTTTATTCATCTTGTATGTTTTTACCGTTTGTTATAAAAACAAATGTATTCTCTTATGTCTTTCTATAGTTACCTGAATCTGTGCAAACAATATTATCTGAACATTTAAATGGCAATGAAACATTAATAACTATGATCTGGTTTATTATAATATGTGTACTGTGCTTTGTACTCAGTTTGTTTTTTTTGTCAATGGGTATAAAACAATTAAAACAAAGTAGATATGCAAAAGAAAATCGTACACAATGTCAACAACTTCAACAACATAATGATCAAATGGAATTTGAATGTGCTACCTACAAACGAAAACATGAACAGTAGGAAAAAATAATAAAGTAATTTATTGAATTTAATTATCATTAAATTTAGATTATTGAATGAAATTGAAGAAATGAAAAATTTATCTAAAGAAAACGAAGATGATCTTGTTCAATTACGTAAAGAATGTAGCCAACTGAAGGATGATTTGGAAAAAACACATATTGAATATCATACTTTGCAAAATGAAATTGATAATAAACAAAGTTTAATACAAAACTATGAAATTGATATGCAAAAACAAATGGAAATAGTCACACATTTGAATAATGAGGTAATGAAACAAACAAATTAACTTAATTTAGTTTAGTATAAAAAGAATTCAATATTATATCATCTAGAGTAATTTTACGCGTAACTAATTTAAATTTAACTGTTTAGATATTTGAATATCAACAAGAATTAGGAAAAGAACGAGAAACAATAGCACGATTACAATCAAATGATCTCTCATTAGAACGTTTCGAAAAACTACAAGAAACTATTCAACTACTTAAATCAGAAATTTCTCAACTCAAACTAGAAAAATTCACTCAAACAGATCAATTACAACAACTTCAAGAACAAGTTAATCAACTAGGCATTGATAATAACCAACTTATTATCAAAATGAAACAACTCAAAGATTTAATTGAACAAAAAGATGAAACTATCACTCGTATGCGTCAAAAAATACTGAATAATCATGATGATGATGAAGATGAAACAACAGGTGAGATTATTTTATTATTATTATTAGAAAAAGATGATTTACTTTCCAAAGTATCATCAGAAGAAAATGTCGATAACAATTCACAAGAACTCTTATCAAATATCGATAATGATGTTGAAAAAGCAAATCAACATATGCGTGATTTACATTCGGAAATTGATGAAAAAACTCGTCGTATCAAAGAACTTGATCTATTACTTAATCAAGAAAAGGATCGTTGTCGAGAAGTGGAAACAAAACTAAAAGTTGTTTTAGAACTTCGAGAACGAGATGCTCATTTACATATTCGACAATTAGGACAAACTGATGCTGAACTTCGAAAAGCAAGAACAGATACTGAACGTGTTCGTATTTTACAACAACAACTTCAATTAAAAGAGTAAGAACTATTTGTTTTTGATTGATGAGAGAAAAAGGGTAATGTTTGTTTGAATTTGTAGACAACAATTAGAAGATGTTCAAAAGGTGTTAAATAGTGAACAAACGAAGTTTAGTGAAGAATGTAGTAAACTACAACATGAAACACATGAAAAATGGATGGAAGTAAAGCGCTTAGGTCGAGAACTTGATGGAGCGCGAAAAGAATGTGAAGGTCTTCGAAGACAGTATGTTTTATGTTATTATTATTTATATATGTATGTATATATGTCTATAGAATAACTAAATATGGTAACAATGAACGTTCATCACAACATCTAACTCATACTGGTAGTAAGTTTGTTATATGACGAAAGATTGATGTATGAATTGTTTGTATTAATTCGAGGTCGAGCATCGAGTGAACCAGGAACAAATGGAAATACTCCATCATCTCCAACTCAACAAGAGACAAAGTATGATGTTTATCCGTTTTTAGATAAAACTAATATTTTTATATTGAAATTAGATCAACTGATCAAAGTATCAGTTTAAATAGTACTAGTCCGGTCAATACATTTAGAGCTGGTAAATTTTGTTTTTTTGATATTTTCTTCCTTTGTATAACTATTCTTTATTTAGAACCACCTCTATTTATGTTGTCTAGACCACATTTCCGTCCACCGCCGTTTTTACCTCCCTTGATATGCAATCGATTCATATCATCTGCTAGATATCCGATACCATTCAATGGTTTACAACAAGCAACAGTTAACAATGACGTTTTATCTACTAATAAAAATAAAACATAAACATATCATTCACTTTGTCTTTTATTAATTCCATAAAAGAACAATACACAAGAAAATCATAAAAGATAGAAACTAAAATAGTAAAAGAACGCTTTATACTATTATAGTATAAAATCGATAAATCTAACTGTGTGGCAGTATACTTCAAATGGCTTTATCTTTTAAAACTTTCTAAATTGAGTCACATTCAATTGTGTTTTTAATAAAACTATAAAATAATTAATCACATAAATACAGTAGTGGATAAATGCATTAGCTTGTCTAAATTCGAAAAGCTCGAGATATTTAATATCAATAATGGATTTCATGACAATATTTCTATAGATATAGAAACATATAAAACAAAACCATCTTGATTATTTCTAACATACAACACAATCTAATGTGATGAAATCTTGCTAAAAGCCAGTCGTTTTGATCTCAGACACGAATATTAAAATAAATTTTTCAATTAATTAGAATTTTATCACACGAATATATGCTTTTCTTGTGTTCCAGCTTGAACATATTAACTTTTTTATCAAGGAGTATACAATCATGAAATTTATTCACTTTGTCTTTTGGTCGCTTCAGCATGTTATTATTCTCATTAGCAATTATAAAATACAGTGGTTATTCACTTGATATTCAATGTAGAATAATGACGTTATGCTCTTGAATGCTTATATTCATTCGAATTCTATTCTATGTAGAACGTTATTATCAAGATTTACATAATGAGCAATTAAACTACTAGAATTCATGTCGATATTTCTTGTAACAAGAAATATCTGAGATCGTGCAGCATTTTTATATAATCATTTATCTAGTTATCTATTCATTGATTTTTCTTTCTCTATTAGCTGACCTCTACCTTGTTGTTGATCATGAGAAAATGCATAGACTTACGAAATAAAGATAGCTATTGATTCATATCTTTGAATATACTACTTTTCTCCTCATATTTTTACTACCAGAGTTATACTCCAGCCATGAAAATTCTTTCTTGTTGGATTAAAAAAAAACGATTGTTTTGATTATTCTACAACAGAAAAAGTGGAATGTATTATTTCATATTAACTCAAACTAATCGGATCGCTTAGATCACTATCAGTATTCATGAATAAAAATCCTATACGCTCCAAGTTTCATTGAATATTGCTAGTAAATAAATGTATCGAGTAGTTTATCATTGGTTGTTATTACTTTTGATAGACAATTACGTAAACCATATTTTTCATCAGTTTTAAAGTTATTTTTAAGTTTTTTTACCTTTTATTTTATTTTATTTTATTGCTTTTACTATAAATTTTTTGATCCTATCGTGTAAGAAATATATTCGAAATAATATCATATACCATTGACGTTATTCAGACCCTACTTTGTATCATTATGAAAACATGATAATATTATTAGATAACGGTGTGATAAATAGGTATGTTGTGTAAGCTTTCATGACTGATTTTTACCATAACTGTTTCGATTGATTAAGTTGCACGTTGTCCTTTTTTTCAGGTAAAAAACATGACTGTAAGGTAAATAACACCAAATGATATTTTGTGACCAATTGCGTCGTAACTTTTACATGAAAAATAATAGATAAAGCATTCAGCAATATCGTATACTGATCATTTTTATTAGCATAAAAATGAAATGTAATATTTTGAATATTCAGTATAAGAAAGAAGAGTAAACGGATGAATCTTGTAGGCACGTGTTCAAGTGCTGTATAGAAGAAAAAAGAGTAGTCAAATCACTATGATTGATTAGTTAGATTGTGGAGATAAGCGTAAGTTTTTTTTTATCAAAAAAAAATCAAACGATGACATTTTTTTTTCATCGAATATCTTATCCGTCATTCTACCTTATGAATAAAATTTGTAGACCCCTAATTTATAATATGCGTGTAATACCAATTTAAAAGTACAATTTGTATCGATTCTTATACATTTTAATCAGAATTTTTCAATATCAAATGATTAATCATTTTTTTTGTATAGAAAAATGAATGATTATCTGTCGTACATGCGATTATTAAGGTTCTAATGACTGTAGATATTTATAGATTCTATGTCATACTTGCGAATCATTTCATGACATAAATACTTTAAATAACATTAAATTCCTAATCGATTTGCTCTGTAATATTAGACAAATTATTCACAGGTATGCTTATTTTTACAGATATTTCAATATTGAGTTTTATATACTAAAGTACAATGTTAAACATCCAAAGGTTGAATATATCAATGTGCTTTGCTTACATTACTTAATGAAAGAATACATATTTAGATTCTTTTTATCTAATGATGTCATAGTGTTTGAATTTTAAGCCTTATAAATCTGTTAAATATATTTTTATAGATCTTCTGTCTAGTATTACATCACCGAGTGATAAGAAATTAAGATAAATAGCAATAGAATCTATATTTTCAAAAACAATATAATAAGTTGCATATAATCCTATATGCTTTCATAAAGAAGTACTAAATTACTTGTGACAATCTTCGCATAAGCATAAGACTGAAAGGATTTATGGATATAGTATTTATTACAATTAATCCTATTTATCTCAATGAATCATTTATTTCCATTCTAATCATATATTAATAATTCTCTTCAAATAAAAGTTAACTTGAAATAATAGTATGTATATTACAAGCTCATATGAAAAGAGCTACTTATTCATCTAATAAACAATAGCTATTGTTTACTAAAATTTTGCAACTCCGTTTCATCAATCAATGTCATAAATTTCAAACCACACACATATATATGGTCGCTTATTTCTTTGTCATCATATGTCAATTAGTTTTTGAATCGGATGGATAGTTGCACACCATTTTGCTCTTTTACAAGACTCAACTCATACAATTTTGCTGTCTTTCTACACCTAGCGCTGACTTTCTATTGGATGCCGTACAATACCATTTTCTATGGATGTTTTGTCGTGTCGTCGTTGAGAGATGGTTTTCTTTTTTTTTTTCGTTCTGATATACATATTTCTGTCTTATTTTTTTCTTCTCATTTAATGTAATCGTGTTCTTTTCTTAGTTGGGATAGATTTCCAATTATTTTTTGTTGTTTTTCATGAATCATGACTCTATTGGTTACGAATACTCACGTTCGACAAGAATTTGAATTAACTAACTAATTTTTTCTAAAATATTCTAGATGAGGCTGTGCAATGCTTTGATTCACTATTTTTTATTTACTATTTTCCTCTCTCTACGTATTTCGAATTGTTATGGTCATGAACATCATAATCATGTCGATCCAGTGACAACGAAATATTCTCAGTCAGCTGTCACTATTGATCCTCTTAGTACAAATATAGGTTTGTTTAATTGCTTTTATTTTTAGCCACTAGCTAATTTTATTGTTTTTGCTCTAGAAACTGCGAATATTCACAAGCATCATGATGATGAACATTTACAAGATACAATTGACGCTCGTCTTCGGACGAAACATGATTTGAGACAATCAGTTCATCAACATAGTGATGATGATGATCATATACATGAAAATGAAGAAGATTGTAAGAATTTTTTCTTTTATATTTTTTTTTCAAATAAAAATTCTATATTTTTTTCAAGATATCAATCGATTAAATTCAGCTTTAGAAGATAATTATGGAAATGAATTTCAATTTGAACAAGTCGCCCCACCTCTAGCAGATCCTATTAACAATATACAATTACAAAATCAAACAAAAGAAGATGTTAAAATACCACCCCATATACACAAAGAAACAACATCAACTCTTTCTCCATCGATACAGATACCATCGGAACAAAAACAATACATCAATGATGAATTACAATTAACAGAAAAACCACATATAATTGAAAATCAAAAATACAATCAAAATATAGATGAAAATTCCAACCCAAACGTAGTTGTAGATGAAATTATTTCTTCGAGACATTTACAAACTGATGAAGAGGAATCAACAGATATTTATCCACAAAAAATAATAAAAGAAGATATTTTATATCTTAATAGTGAAACTATATCATCAACAAAATTACATCAACCAGTAGAGATACCGAGTCATACAAATTCTGCACCTGATTCCATTCCTTCTACTCCAATTCAACACCCACCAATTTCTAATACAATTAAAAGCGAAATATCAAAAGATGACATTTCGATCGATATTAAACCATCATCTCCAACACCATTACAATCACAAGACATAAAATATGAAACAAAACAAAATATGAATTCATTCGATCGTCATTCAGATGTATTGCATCAAACACCTGAAGTAATAGTAAATGATAATTCATTACATCTTAATTCAGAATCACAACGAATAAGCGATTCAATACATATTATAAGTTCAATAGATGAAGATCTGCCATCTTCAACACCATCAAAACATAATCATGAGCATCAACAAATTACTGATTCAATACAAAATGTTAGTGCACCAGAGCAACAACAAGAAATACCATCAGTACATGTAGATCAACGATCATCGCAAGTGAACGATAGGAGATCAGATGATATTCAACCTATACAACAAAAAGAATCTTTAAATTCTGCTCAAATACCATCATCATCACCAACAACACCAACGACAAGAATCCTACGTTCAGCATCGTCAAGGATGCATCAAAAAGTTCATACACGTCATCGTCATGGTCAATCAGATCAAGAACCAATCAAAACACAATCAGAAACAGAAAATATTTCATCAACAGGTATTGATCATTTTCTCTATTTTATTCTATTACTTTTTCCTTTATAGAAAATATAAATATCGAACCAACAGTATCATCAACAACCATAACAGTTACTGAACAACCTATCGAAACTATTCAACCACCGACAATCGATTTTAATATCAATACTAAAGCCGAAACTCAAAGAACTAACGAAATTGAAACACAAACTGACGATGAAAACGTGACAGATATCGATAATATACCTGAAACACATATAGATAATCAAAATTCAAAACCATTTGACACCACCGATCTTCCACGACAAGTACATGTTCATGATCCTACCATCGTTCTCAATGAACTAAAACAAGAATTAAATCAAAACGAAGATCTTTCTCTTGATCAAGAAGTGGAAAACAGCACAACTGTTGATTCATTTCTTGTTAATGATCATAGTCCACATTTACCACGTATACATGAAACTGAAGAAACTATAACACATCTTACTCCAACAATTGAAGAGACTAATGAGAAAAATTCACATGATTCAAAAGTAATTTTTACAGTATAAATTATATCAAAAATATAATTTTTTTTTATTTACATAGACCGACGAATTAACATTAAAATCAAATAATAGTGATAAAATGTTACCTATTGAATATCGACAAGTTTGTTGGCAATTACCAAAACCATTTGAATCCACTTTTGGAATAGTAGAAAATAAACTATTAGGTTTCATTAATTTGGTAAAATCAATTATTTTTCATATAAATTTAAATTATTAAATCTTTTTTTCGTGTCTAGTTACCCGAATATATTCAATCAATCTTTTTTGGAGCTTCAAATGATCGTGAAAAATTAATGAATACAATGTGGTTTAGTTTTATATGTTCAATATGTTTTTTCTGTAGTTTTATTTTTCTTTCAATGGGTGCTAAACGTTTAAAACAAAGTAAAAATGACAAAGAAATTCGTGCTCGTTGTCAACAACTTCAACAATATAACAATCAAATTGAACTTGAACGTGCAACATTTGAAAGACAAAATCAAAAGTAAAAAACAAAAGAATTTAAATAATTTGATCCTATATTTGTTATTTTCTTGAATGTTTAGATTATCAGATGAGATTGATGAATTAAAAAATCTACCTATTCGTGATACAGATGAAGAAATCTTTGAATTACGTGAAAAATACGAACGTCTTCATGCTGATTGGCAAATTTCCAGAACCGAATATGATACTCTATTCAGAGATAATGATTACAGACAAAGTTTAATACAAAAACATGAATTTGATATGCAGAAACAAGTTGAAAACGCAGCAACTTTAAATGATGAAGTAAGATTTATAATATGTCTAAAATATTAATCAGAAGAAATAGTCTGCATACGGTGAAATCGAAACCATCTGTTTCCACCTAGTTTAGTGAGATTTTTTAGTTATTGTTATTATTTATTTATATATTCTTTGATAGACACAACTGATGAATTCTTAATCGATTTCTATTGTTTACAATACGTACATTCTTTATCGTTCTTTTCTAAGGATTAAAAACTTCAACACTTTTTAAAGTATTTTAACATGTTATTTGAGAAAACAAATGTTTCCTTGAACTATGTCAGTTGATATTGTTGAAATTTCCTTGAATATTCTTATGAATAATCATCATAGAAAAATTTATTTAAAACATGCTTCTCGCTAATTATCATGCATCAAATTATTCATTCAATTTTGCAATCAAAATAAATGTGACTTGTACGGTAAATGATATGAAGTATATCAATTTTATCTCTTGTCGATTTCAAGGTCAAACAATCTATTTAATAGTTCTTAATTAGTTCCTACCGTGTACTAGATATCATACAAAAAAAAATAATATTTTTGTTTTATAAAATTTAACAATTAAATAAAAAATTAAATAATTTAGAATCTTCGTCTGAAACAAGAATTAGAAAAAGAACGAGAAACAATAGCACGATTACAATCAAATGATCTTTCATTGGAACGTTTCGAAAAATTACAAGAAACTATTCAACTACTTAAATCAGAAATTTCTCAACTCAAACAAGAAAAATTCACTCAAACAGATCAATTACAACAACTTCAAGAACAAGCTAATCAATTAGATATTGATAATAATCAACTCACTATCAAAATGAAACAACTGAAAGATCTAATTGAACAAAAAGATGAAACTATCACTCGTATGCGTCAAAAAATACTGAATAATCATGATGATGATGAAGATGAAACAACAGGTAAGATTATTTTATTATTAAATCAAATAATATAAATCTATTTTCATTAGAAAAAGATGATTTACTTTCAAAAGTATCATTAGAAGAAAATATCGATAACAATTCACAAGAATTCTTATCAAATATTGATAATGATGTTGAAAAAGCAAATCAACATATGCGTAATTTACATTCAGAAATTGATGAAAAAACTCGTCGTATCAAAGAACTTGATCTATTACTTAATCAAGAAAAAGATCGTTGTCGAGAAGTGGAAACAAAACTCAAAGTTGTTTTAGAGCTTCGAGAACGAGATGCTCATTTACATATTCGACAACTAGGACAAACTGATGCTGAACTTCGAAAGGCAAGAACAGATACTGAGCGTGTTCGTATTTTACAACAACAACTTCAATTAAAAGAGTAAGGACTATTTGTTTTTCATAGAGATAAAAGAAGAAAGGGTAATGTTTGTTTGAATTTGTAGACAACAATTAGAAGATGTTCAAAAGGTGTTAAATAGTGAACAAACAAAGTTTAGTGAAGAATGTAGTAAATTACAACATGAAACACATGAAAAATGGATGGAAGTGAAGCGGTTAGGTCGAGAACTTGATGGAGCGCGAAAAGAATGTGAAGGTCTTCGAAGACAGTATGTTTTGTGTTATTATTATTTATATATGTATGTATGTATGTATATATGTCTATAGAATAACTAAATATGGTAACAGTGAACGTTCATCACAAGAGAAAACAATGTATAAACCAGTACCACAACATCTATCTAATAATACTGGTGGTAAGTTTGCTATTTGGTATATATGATGAAAAATCAATGAATGAGTTGTTTATATTAATTTAAGGTCGAGTATCAAGTGACCCAGAAACTAATGGAAGCTCTCCACCAATTCCAAATCAACAAGGAGAAAAGTAAGACATTTATCTATTTAATAAGAACAACTATATATGTTTCTCTATTCGATAGTTTTAGACCGATCGGTCATGAACGTAACGACTCGGGTGCTGCTAGTCCATCTGAAATGTTCAGAATTCGTAAGAATTGTTTTCATCTATCATTTTTGTAGAAATCTGTTTTCTATTTAGGTCCACCACTATTTACCATGCAACGACCTCCATTCTTTCCTCCACCGTTTATGCCTCCTCCACCACCAAATCCATTTATGATGGGTGCACGATTTCCAATGCCACCAATGGGTGGTCCACATGGATTGATATCACCTATTCCACATATAATGACAAATGGTAGTGGTGCTGGTAGTGATACAAATAGTTTTGAAATTGTTGACCCATCTAACATCACGCCGAATTCGACTACTTATGATGCACAAGTTAATGGATCAGCTATCTCACCTACACCCGATGGTAAGATTTTCTTCGAAAACAAAATCAAATAAAATATAATTGAATGTTTTACTGTTTTTGTAGGCGAACAACAAGTGTCCGCTAAAGTAAAAAAACCAAAAAAAACTCTGAAAAAAAAGACTAAAACTTCCACAACAACAATAGCGCCGGGAACGAAAGAGGACGTATGACGCTATTATTAAATTTGTTGTTTTTTTTTCTTTAAAAAATGTTTTATGATACTCGTACATTCGTTATCTTCTTGCTCTATTCAATTTTTTTGTTGAACATAACTGTTATTTATATTTGTCGTATTTCTTTTTCACTTGGGGGGTTTTACATATACATATATCAAGGAATGATTATCAATCATTCTTATTATTATTTGTGTGTTTTATTTTGAAGAAAAAGAAAAACGACACAAGATAGATATTCTATTCTTTTTTTTGTACGTGTGCGTGTGCGTGTGTATATCTATACTATTCTTTCAAACATGTACACCTCTCCGTCTTTTTAGTTGTTGTTATTGTTATTGTGAAGAGTGAAAACTGTTATTTCTTTGTTGACGTTACTCGCGAAGTGTGAGTGTGCTCTTGTCTTAACAGTCAATATTTTTTTTTCTTTTTCCTCTTTCTCGCTCACATGCACACTTATAGAAAAATAATATACTGACAAAAATTAGTGAGAGAGTTTATCTGAAATATTCAAGTTTTGATTTATAATACAGCAAACATCACATAAGTAAGTGACTGAAATGTTATTAAAATGCAGAATATGTCATACTCTAGTTTGCATCGAAGAATATGCAAATCAATATTTGTATTCTATTGAAATCTATATATGATAAATACATTATTTGCATATAATTATTTTATTCAAATTTTTGATCAATTTTATATTAAACAAATACTTGTAACAATTATTTTAACAAATTAAAATAATGTCTAATAGAGTAAAGAGGGAGGATCAAGTACATCAAAATCAAATTTTTAACTTCTATAGCTCATATTTCTTTTGAATTTAGAATTACAAAAAAAGTTGTAGTACAAATATTGTAGAGAAAATAGGCACTTACAGCGGTTATTATAATTTACAATAAAACCTAATTTCTGATACCATTTCTAATCAGATCTTGCTTATCTAGAGCGAAGAATCCCTGCCTAGTATCCTATCGAGTAGCCCAAAATCTGATAGAATCCCACGGGATTACGTTGAAATTCTATTAAAACGCCTAGGCTCATATAATACTTGAAATAAAAATACTGTTTTGTATATATATTCTTGATGGATTAATATTCAATCAAAATCATTTGATTGTATCTTTTCATATATGGGTGAATTGCGCTGGTATTGTACCGTTGCTTTGGAAGAACGCAAACGCTCATATCTTGACTTCTGCTCAACCGATTTTCATAAATTTTTTTTTAAAATATACGTTGATGTTTATACTACTTCACGTAAAAAAATTAAATTTCCAGCATGCAGCTGTTCTAATTTTTTGGGACGAAGAATGCCAAAATCACCAGCTTCTGGTGCCATCCATAGATGAAAATCATGATCCAATTAGACAGTTTTGGTTGGATAAAATTAAACTTTTCCAACCAGTTTGTAGCTACGACTTTCCTCTTTCTGCTGATATAAATTGATCATAAGTTCGGTTTTGATTTATGGATCAAATTTTGCAAAAACTGATTAAACATACTAAGTGGCTACTTTATGTCACGCCAGATTGAATGCAACATAATAAAGCAAACTTAAAAGCAAATTTAAATGTTCTTTTTTTATTTGATAGAGCAAAGAGTGAGAATCGTTTTCATAAAAAAAAAAATTCTTTTAATCGTTTGAATCAAATAAAAAATAAAAAATAGAAGGCGAAAGTAGCTTATGTCTCACTAAATGTCACGCCAGATTTTCGATTTTGTTTTCTCAATTTCTCAGGAACTAGAAAAGATAAGACCGATATTTTTTTCTCTTTTTTAGTTGACTATGAGGTATATCTGTAGTAAAAATTTTAGCTCGTAAGTAGGTACCATTCTCGAGAAAATCATAATTTACTTAAAAAATGTCACGCCAGATTTTTTTGAATCGAAGAGTCACGTCAGATTAAAATGATAGACATGTAGAGAAAAAATTATTTTATTTTATCTTATTCGACTTCAACAGACTCCTCTCAGACAAAGAAACGTTTTATACCCTGAATGACCGTGACGTGATATAGTATAAAATGACTTGATATGAAGTAAGAATGTGAGAGCAGCACTCTTACATTCATACCCTTAACATGGGCATGTATGTGTGTGGGTAAAGTTCTACACATGCTCATTAGATTCCCCTTTTCATAAGCTTTCGTTTGATATATGATAACACTAAATAAATACTCATTTTTATTTCTTTTTGGCAAGAAACCTCCGAGAACGATATCTTTAATTAGCCAAAAAAGACTAGAAAAACACTGGTTTTATGATAAAACTCGGATTTTTTCGAAATGAAAAGACTGATAGTTGGGAAAATCCTTGGTTTATACACAACTAATAGAGCTCTATCGAATGCGCGGTTCAAATATGCTTTATGTTCACTTTTATTTTTTTCGATTTTTTCCGTCAAACGGTACAATACCAGCGCAATTCACCCATATGCATGTTGATTTTGGGTTCAACAAAAGAACAATGATTTCTTTAAATGAAATGATCATATTGACTGAATTTTTCTTCATTGTATATCGTATATAATGACACTATATATATATATATACTCAGTTCATTTTATTCAACTGAGTTGAGTGGAGTTCATAAGTGTTTTCTATTCATATTAACGTACTGATCTGTTCCAAAGTATGTTGATGTCTGTAGGAATCATTTATTTTTCTATCTTTCGTTTACTTAATCTCTACTATGAATTATTCTTTTTATTGGAACAGAAAGAATAACTCTAAGTACTGAATAAATACAGTTCTTTTTCTCATTTCATTACTTTAAACAGCATGTTGGATGGTCGTTTTTTTCCTTATCCAACACAGAGAACCTCGACCTTGCTCAGACACGATAATTTTATATCGTAAAGGTCTTTTTCTGCAATACGTGTCTCTTGATATGTATTGTTTACCTCATGATGGGCGTTACCACTCATTTGTGTCTCAACAAGATCAGAGTTTCTCTGTACGCGCGCGCATTTAAAACAATTCTATTCTTGTTTAAGAATTTTATTTTTTCTCTATCATAAAAACAAAATTCATGGTAATACAATTTATTATTTGTTTTTTACACATTCGAGGTTATTTCTATACTTTTGAAGATTTGGGTGGTTTGAATTTAATGATTGTACTCCAATTTGTATAGCACGTTCATAACATGTACGGGCTTCTGAGTAATTACCCATGTTTTTATATACTACACCAATGTTGTTGTAGGACATAGCCAAATGAGGATGGTTTGGAGGAAGTGATTGTTGTTGAATTTCAACAGCTTTTTCATGATAAGAAAGTGCTTTTGGATAATTAACTATGTTTTTATAGATCAGACCAATGTTGTTGTAGAACATAGCCAAATGAGGATGGTTCGGAGGAAGTGATTGTTGTTGAATTTCAAGGGCTTTTTCATAATAAAAAAGTGCTTTTGGATAATTACCCATGTTGTAATGCACCAAACCAATGTTGTTGTAGGAAAAAGCCATATCAGGATGAATGGGAGGAAGTGATTGTTGTTTGATTTCAAGGGCTATCTCATAGTAAGAAAGTGCTTTCGGGTAATTAACCATGCTGTTATACACCAAACCAATGTTGTTGTAGGACGTAGCCAAATCAGGATGATTGTGGGGAAGTGAATGTTTACTGATTTCAAGGGCTTTTTCATGAGATGAAAGTGCTTTCGGAAGATTACCCATGTCGTAATGCACTAAACCAATGTTGTTGTAGGACGTAGCCAAATCAGGATGATTGGGAGGAAGTGATTGTTGTTTGATTTCAAGGGCTTTTTCATAATAAGAAAGTGCTTTTGGATAATTACCCATGCTTTTATAGATCACACCAATGTTGTTGTAGAAAGAAGCTAAATCAGGATGATTAGGAGGAAGTGATTGTTGTTTAATTTCGAGAGTTTTTTCATAATAAGAAAGTGCTATTGGATAATTACCCATGCTTTTATAGGTCCCACCAAGATTGTTGTAGGAAGCAGCCAAATCAGGATGATTGGGAGGACAAGTTTTTTGATAAATAGCAAGTGATTTTTCGTATAGTGTAATTGCTTCTTCATATTTTCCATGATTGTTTTTGATCGAACCAAGTTGCTGATAAATAGGTGCCTTGTTTCTATCATCCTTTGTTTGATCAAGTAGAACTTGATAAATATCTTCAGCTTTGTCAAATTGACCCATTTTATATAGTACCGAACCCAATCTGTACCATCCTTCAGCGTCTGGATGACTCTTTTGTCGAATGTAATCAGTAAGTCTATTCAATTCTGGATCGTTGTCTGTAGTAAGTGTCAAATTAACTTCATATAAACGATTATTTTCACCCATCTGTTTAATATCCTGTATACGAAAAACACTATGCATTGAAAATATGACTTCTTCTTCTTGGAAATGGCTAATATCAGCAACTGAAGCAAAAGATATTGTTGATTGAGATGGATTCACTTTCATAACGAAAAGTATTGCAGCTAAATCTGGATTGGTCTGATTGCTTTCAGCAAAAGCATAGGAGAGATCACGGTCTTTACTAGTAGACAAGAAATTGTTGAATGAAATAAGACCACCTTTGGTTTTTATCAATTGTTCAAAATCTCCTATAGACAAACCTTGACCACGATAAACTGTGAATGTATCTGCAGCAGTTGTACCAGCATATTGCTCTTGATGCAGTTGTTCAATATGTCGATGCAGATCACCGATGAAGAAACCCATACGTGTCATAATATCGCCTTCCATCAATCGTAATGCACGATTGAGCATGGGATACAAGAACATGTCACAAGTGTACCAATAAATAGGTGTTTTGTTATGATATTGATCTTCAAATCGTTTGATATTTTCTATTTGTTTTTTATTATCTACAAAACTATCGCAACAGTATTTAATATAATCTTGAAAGTGATTTTGGTCGAAGTCGATGGTTAACAGTATTTCTTTGACGATTTGAGTGTACATAAAAGAAGGATCTAATTGATCCAATTGTTTGTTTGATTCAAGAAAACTCATGGGAATGGCATTTTGTTCGCATTGAAGAGCAGTTTCCTTGATTGCTTCACAGATCGATGTAATATCTACGAATATACCCTTTATTTTGGACCAATTCTTGGCCCATTGTTCATGATATTTTTGGTTCTCACATAAAAGAAAAATTGAATCAACTTGAGACATATTGTGAACAAAACGTACAAAATGTTGCCCAAGTGATCCAGATATGATTATACATGCTTTCTTGTCGACGATTGTTTCAATGAACTCAAAGCATTGATCAACATCTGAAAATGTATTGATGTCGTTGACAGCCTGTCGCAATTGTGTGATTGTATTTTGGCAATCGTCGTTGTTCTCGTCGATATTGTTGTCTAGCCAGATTAGAAGAACATTTTGCATTTGTTGAAGATTGATACGTTGACGATCTTTTGCTCCTTTTGGAACTGCAGATGCATTTGCTGTTGATTGTCCCTTACCCATTGTTTGTTACGTGAATGGTTTGAAATGAAGTTACTATGCAAAATTTACTAGTGAAACAATGATGAAAAACGATTCTTTTTATAGGTGACTATTCCCTTGCGAAACGTTATATTTTTCTTTAACTGTTTTTTGATGTTGCTATGAAAAACAAACATCAAAAGAGTCCGTAAAAAAGAATGATTTTATTTGTTTTCACAGAGAAAAATATTCGTAAGTGATGTTTGTTATTTGAGAATCCGCAAGTTGGTAAAAGCTTTTTTGTATGATCAAATATTTGATGAATCACACAAGTTTGACAACATATTTACTGATCACGAAGTAGTAGCGATGTAATTTAAAAGATGTTTAAATTAGCTTCCGAGTGAAAACCTATATGTGATTATTATGTAAATGACAGAGATTGACGTTATAAAAATTTTATTTGTCATTAGCAAACAAAAAAAGACTTATTCATGAATGACTTGATTGTGGGTGTGGATGCGGGTAGGCTGGTTCTATCTGTACCTTCATTCT